TATATGTGTGTGTGTGGTAACTCCCCTTCCAAGTTTGAGTATTGTTGCCTTTTGAGTGATGTCTAGAAGCAAAACCGTGAGGACGGGCTCAAAGCCAACAATATCTCACAAATGTGGAGATATGTGTATATGTGTAATAACTCTCCCGGTACTCAACACAAACAACCCCCAAGATTTTGCAAAGTTGTCAACTCACGTCAAGAATTTTTTGACTCATCTATGACTTGCATACAGGCAGCTCAGTTCACTTGTGAGATATTGTACTATATCTCTTTGCCGTCACTTTTCTATCATTCTATTTTACATCTTATTGATTCGTCTGAGGAACAAAATTTACTTTGGTCATCATATCACATCACTTGACTTTTTCTAATTTTTATAATGATAACATTTACATGAAATTAAATAATTCACTTGATTGACCTTCAAAGTTCAAATTCAGGCTTTTTATTTAGGTTTTAGATGATAAGCTCTGAAAATTTATCCTTTATTATTAATTTAAGCAAGTACCTTTAATAAATTAGGAAGTCACAACAACGAAACCTGGGGCAACTTTAGGCATTTTATAACTTGTAGCCTTGGGTGGGAAAACTCCTTAGGACTTAATCACAGGGGCATTAGAAGTAACTTCCTTCATGTGATGAGGAATAGTGACTGCCGAGCAACCAAAACTGTTAGGGACTCGTTATTATACTGTCCTAACATCTTTTTATTTTCCCCTCCTTTTTCTAGGGAAAAAACTGTGTTAAATGAGGATGCATAAATTCTCATATTTTTGTGATTATCACTTAAGAGGTTCAATTTGATGCTTCTCAGCTAATATTTACATTGTTCATGCAGCATCCTGGAAATATTGCAGTTGATGATGTCAATGGTGGAAGATTGATCTTTTATGATTTTGGAATGATGGGAAGGTATGTTCTTTATCTTTTCTGTATGTTTAAAATATGAATTACAAGTGGAACATTTTACTCTTGGTGAGATGAATACATTTGCTTATTATGATTGGTGTTGCACCCTACAGTATCAGTCAAAATATCCGAGAAGGTTTACTTGAAGCTTTTTATGGATGGCGTTTCATAATACGATGAAAATTCTAGCTTATTTCATTCTCAATTTTAAATTATTTACCAAATGAAGCTTGTGTACTTATGTAGGTCCTTCAAGCAATGATTCAAATGGGTGTTCTTGTCCCAACTGGCGATATGACTGCTGTTAAACGAACAGCACAGTTCTTCCTCAATAGGTATTTTATTAAAATTAAACCCATTTGGTGGGAATTCATAGAATAGAAACACCTATAGATACTCAGCAGTAGTATTTCTGAAAATCAATATTATCACATAGTTTGTAGATTATTGATTGCACTACCTGCTAAGGCAGCTTAAAACTACTTATAAAGAAGTGTTCTGAATAGGAGATTCTAAACTTTTTATCTTGGGAAAGGAAATTTTTTCTCATTGATAGGGATTTGTGCTTGAAATACTTGGCTGTCCTGATTAGTTATGTCAAGAATATAGTGGTATTAGGGTTGGATCAAGTGGTAGAATCAAACTGCATCAACTCAAAGAATCAAAGGTCTTAACTGTTTTTCCCCACCAAAAGAGAAATAAGTAGTGATATTTATTTGAAAATTGTTACTGCAAATTTTGGATCACTTGTTGATATTTTAAGCTAATATTTTCTCCCCTCACTAATATTCTATGGTTTAGACTAGAGTTACATGTCTGTGGTGCAGAATGGTTATGTTAGCAACCCACTACAATCTCTGACCTTTAGCTCTTCAACATTATTATTTTATAGTTTTGAAGAGAGTCTGGCTGCACAAAGGAGAGAGAGAGAGAGATGGCAACAGCTGAACTTGGATTCAAAAAGCCATTAAGCAAAGAGGAAAAAGTAATGAAGAAGAAAGAACGTTTGGCTGCTATTGGTAATGCACATGGTCCAGTGTGTCTTTAAGTTTAGATTATTTGGATGTATGCATACAATATTGTTCGTGAAATGAGTCACGTGAAGATAAAAATAGACAAGTTATAGGGAAGAATATGTTGTTTGAGCTATTGGGTATGGGTCATGGGTTATTAACTTAATATTTTAACCGGTATCAAGTAGGTGAAACGTTAATTAGCTATATACAGTTCTATATAATATGATTTTTGAACTTGGTTTGTTTTCCCGATTGGTTAAAGTGATTTCATCTGTAAAGTTTGACATTACCTGTGTCAACTATAAGAAAATTTTCTGTGTCAGAACTTTCAGTATTTCATTTTGGGTGTTTGTGTTCTATTAATGCAATGCAAGTTTGGTTGGATGGAATGGATCATTCCCATTCCCATGCTTGGTTAAGTCATTGGAATGGTAAGGAACATTCGTGTATAATTATGGGAATATATATTCCATTACTGAAGTGATGGAATTCCATAATTCCATTCCAATATGCTCTAAAATTGGCCCATCACGTCTGGCTTACCTGTTCAAGTATAAAATCTTTTTGGAATAAAGTCGTCATTTTATTTCTTTTCACAGCATATGAAACGTAGGAATAAATATTCCCTTACCATGGCCATTTCATCAGTTCATCCAAACCAACATGATTTAGTCAAATAACATTATGGAATCCATAGGCTTGTATAACTTACTCAGGTCATATTTTAAACAGGTGAGGATTTATTAGCCATTGCAGCGGACCAGCCCTTCCGGTTTCCTGCCACATTCACATTTGTTGTTAGAGCCTTCTCAGGTGAATATTAAGAGTTTTGTGTTACTTTGCATGTTCTATGCATGTGACTGCAAGGTAACAAGTCAACATTGTTTTTGCAGTGTTGGATGGCATTGGAAAGGGCCTTGATCCTCGTTTTGATATTACTGAGATCGCCAAGCCGTGAGTATTGTTTCACAGTATATAATTTTTTTATTTTTTATACATTACATGTTTTAACTTATAAGCTTTGCGCATCTAACATTCAGCTTTCCTGATCCTGTAGTTATGCTCTGGAGTTGCTAAAATTCCGTGAGGCAGGAGTTGAAGTTATCATAAAGGCAGTTACAAACTTGTTCTGTAATGGTTGAATTCATCTAAGCATTATGATTTCCTTTCTCATATCTTTCTTCTGAATGTACAGGACTTCCGAAAGAGATGGGACAGACAATCTCAAGCATTTTACAACTTATTTAGACAGGCTGAAAGGGTTGAAAAGCTTGCTGAAATCATCCAAAAATTGGTTTGTATTAGATTTTTGTTGATATGATTTGAGGTTTTTGTTTGATTTGTATCTTTTGTTTGTTCTGGGTTTCTGGTATTCTAGATCACATCTTCCTACTCTTCATTCTTGTGCAGGAGCAAGGTGATCTAAAGCTCCGAGTCCGAACTTTGGAATCTGAGAGGGCATTCCAGCGTATTGCCACTGTCCAGAAGACAATAGGAAATGTGAGTACAGCTGGCCTCTAACATAATATAATTATAAGTTTAGTTATTTCTTGGGATTTGGTTTGAGTCAGTTTAATAGTCTGTTGTCATTTTTTGTAGCTATGCTTTTTCTTTCAAATTTATTATCTCGTATCTATTGTAAGCCAGTTGGCTGTTGTTGGATCACACTTGCAATGGCAACAACTCATTAATTATGGAAATAAAAATTGCATGTCGGAGTATTATCATGTGTTTTGCAGGCATGAATCAACATGTTTTAACTTGCATAAATCTATATTCTTAATTTCTTCCAAGAGATATTAAGTGAATGATGTATGTTCAGAGTGAATTGTCTCTTGAACAAAGTATATTCCATGTATGTACTTATTGTAAACCATGTGCATCATTTTTTAGAATCGACACTTCAGATTATATATATGATATATGTGTATGATAAAAGACGAGCAAAGTTAGTGAAATAATGCGTATTTATGTTACCTATTTGTCAATTAATAGGCAATAGCTGCTGGGAGCCTAATAAATCTTGCAACAATTCTGTATCTTAACTCAATTAGGGTAAGCTGTTACCATCTCACTTATCTTTCTCGTAGTTTTTTATATTCAATTAATTGATATCTTGGTGGTAGTGGTACTTTCTCATTCCTCAGTCACATGCCATCTTTTACAGGTGCCTGCCACTATAGCATATGTCTTTTGTGCAATCTTTGGTTTTCAAGTTCTCTTTGGCATTGTGAAGATCAAGAAGCTAGATGAAAGGGAAAGGTTGATTTACAGGGACTGCATAAGAACCAACTAGTTAATTTTTATTTTTTATAATTTTAGGGTGTGATATGTTCATGTTAAGATAATATGTAAAACATCAATTAGGTAGTCAAAAAGATTATTTGGCAAGTTCTTGACATGTCAATTCTTTCCCCTCATTATGGTACTTGTTTATGCCTTTTTGAGTTGTGACCTGGTGGTGAGTGGTGGCTATGGGTTCAACTGTTCTGGTTGTGCAAGCAGCCTCTCATTCTTATGGTAAGGTTGTATACTTCTTACCCATCCCAAAGACATACAGATGGAAGAGGCTAATGCAATAGGCTGTCCTTTTTATGATCTATGTTTCTGCTTCCCTGCTCGCAGTGGTCAGGCTGCATACATTTGAGCCTCCTCATACCAGACCCTGCAATGGTTGGGAATTGGATACTTATCTGTAATTTTGGTGTTTAATATGAAAATTGATTTATGGTCTGAGATTAAACATGCAACTTGCAAATTTTTAGAAGTGAGAGACCTAATGTTACCAGTTCTTAAAGTAAGTGGTGAAGCCTTGCATTGAATAAGAATGGGTTAAGGGAGGATAAATTTTAAGCAAAGAGACTCATACCCTGGCTTGAGGCTTTGGGTCAAGATATAGTGTCAAGCCAATATTGCGACCATTAATGGAGATTTCTCTCCTGGCTGAACAAGTTATTTCAGTGGTTGCAGGATGTTAGGAAGTGAATGACTGATGAAAGCAAATTCTGATGTTTACCTCTTAATTTATGGTCAAAGTATATTAATGTGGGTCTATGCATTCTAGGATCTGTATCATATTACAAGGATTTTGGTTTCTTGGCCTTCTTGTTGAACGCTGTTTTGGGTCCTTGACCTGCTCCATATACTTATTTCTTTCGTTTGACATTACCCCATTGCAGATTTAGGATGGACATGTAGCTCATGTTAAGTTCATGGTTACAAGTCAACCTCCGGGGCATCAAAATGAATAGGAGGTCAAAGTAAGAGCTAACATCTTGGAAGACATCAACACGTGCTAAGGCTTTATGCTGGAGGCTTCTGTTCTTTATTTTGCTAAAGTGATCGGGCTGAGGTAGCCAATTGGCGAGCCACATTTTTGTAGTTAACATGACCCCGCCTCACGCTCCCTTATTGCAAAATTTTATAACATTTATTACCCTTTTTCTTCTTACCTCCATATTGTAAATTTTATAGGCATTGGTGTAGCGTTTATTGTTGTCATCACCATATGGTATGGTTCAGCTTCCAATATAGTCCGACAGCGGGAAGCTTTTCATGTAACTAACGTACATAAATTTGTCAAATGAAAATGCAAATGCATGTATTTGCCTTACATTTGTTGGATGGCCAAATTACAGTTTTTGGTGATTACTGTTTCTTGTCAAGAGCATCTAACTTGAGGTTCACTCACTGTTGTACACGAGCATTACACAACTTATTTTAACTTTCAAGTTGCCTGTTTGATTAATGGCTTCAAATATCTCTCTCCCGACATCTTTTACTGTTAGCTATTACTGGTAACTGGTTAGTTTGTATTACTGGTAATTAGCCTTTAGCTTTTCATGTATACCCTTCCCCAATTTGTTAAATGTATTAACACCCTTTTATATATAGTACTATACGCACCTATAATAATAGTTACCGGAAGGGTACTGTTGATTCGCATTTATGATACAATTAATGCTCCATAACCTTTAATTATGCAATATAGGTAAGGAACGGTGTTGTGGTTTACTCATGCTTCGTGCTAACTTAGATCACATCAGACAAAGTCCTCATCCATGTATGCAGCGGGTACATATGAACAGCTGAAAAGTTTGCAGACCAACCTGTAAAAATAATATTTTTAAAAATTAACCATTTTAATAGTTAAAAAAATGTTATTTTATTGTTAGTCTATATGAACCAAACCACAAGTGTTCAACAATCAAATTAAAGAAACAACTTCGTGGCTTTCACAATTAATGTTTGTGTTTGTGCCTTGTTATCAGGGGACGAGCAGTTAATTATCAGCTAATTCATGTTATAAAACTGTAAATAAAAGTTATAGATCCTCTACAATTGCCAATGTGGCAATCTTTGATGAATTCAACAACGTTAATACATTATCCAGCAGAGGAAATAACACGAAGTAATCCTAAGCAACAAATCGAAATTACAAATCCCATCTAAGGCAAGGAGTTGGTATAGACGTAGTCTTCATTCTTGAAAACACTTTCTTCCTTGCATTCACCCCTTTGCTTTTCACAGCCAGCTGTCTGCATAGTTAAAATTTATTTACTGCTTCAATAATAATAATAATAATAATGATCTAATCCTATTCACATCTCCATTTCACCATTTATGAGTTTCCTTAAAATTGTATTTAACTTACTCCCATTACATAGATTAAATGAACGATTAACAAAAATATCAAGAGGTTGATATAGAGGAGAGATGCAAACTCACAGAAGTGGAATAACTCCCATAAGCCACAACTCCTTCACTGATAAGTGCTTCCCCTTGAAAAAAGCATGTCACATCGAAGGTAAGGATCAGAAAAAAGAAACAAAGCAGGTATCAATAGTCTCATTGGATATCTGAAACTAATATTGGACCTAACTATAGCCTATTTGCAGTATGGAGTTGTGATGGTAACAAATGCCCAGGCCCGGACGGTTTTAATTTACGTTTTATCAAGGAATTCTGGGATACTCTAAAAGAGGATTTTGTGGGTTTCTTTGATGAATTTTTCGTTAATGGTAAGCTGGTTAAAGGAGTCAATAACTCTTTCATTACTTTGATTCCAAAAAATGACAATCCCCAGGGTTTAGGTGATTACCGCCCAATATCCTTGATTGGTAGTGTTTATAAGGTTCTTACCAAGGTTTTGGCCAATAGGATGAGTAGAGTGATGCCAACTATAATTTCTGGATCACAGTCAGCTTTTGTGAAAGGTAGGCAGATTTTGGATGGGGTTTTAATAGCAAATGAGGTAGTGGAAGAGGCTCGGCGGTTGAGAAGAGCCTTGGTGTGTTTTAAGGTGGACTTCGAGAAGGCCTACGACTCGGTAAATTGGGAGTATCTTTGGGATGTAATGGGGAAGATGGGTTTTGGACCTACATGGGTGAGTTGGATGCGAGAATGTGTGTGTTTGACAAAATCGTCTGTTCTGATCAATGGTAGCCCAACTGAGGAATTCAATGTAGGAAGAGGATTAAGACAAGGGGACCCACTTTCTCCTTTTTTATTCTTGATTGCTGCAGAAGGGCTTAATCAAATGGTCCAGTTGGCGGTCTCTTTGGATTTGTGGAAGAGTTTCATAGTAGGCAAGGACAAGATTCAGATTTCCCATCTTCAATTTGCAGATGATACGTTGCTGCTGACTCAAGGGGATTGGAGGTCTTTAGAAACTATTAAGGCAATATTACAAAATTTTGAATTGGTATCAGGCCTTAAGGTGAATTTCAGCAAGAGTAATTTGATAGGTATGAATATGCCGGATCAGTGGTTAGAGCAAGGGGCGAACTTGTTGAATTGTAGACGAGGAGCTTTTCCTTTTAAATATCTAGGGCTTCCCGTTGGAGATCATCCTGCAAGAGGAGCTATGTGGCAGGTGATAGTGGAGGTGGTTCAAAGAAGGTTGGCTTTGTGGGAGAACAAGTACATTTCCCTAGCTGGCAGAGTGATACTTCTAAAATCGGTTTTGTCAGCCTTGCCTACCTATTTCTTATCCTTCTACAAAGCGCCAACAGGTATTCTCTCCAGAATAGAGTCTATCTTTAAAAGTTTCCTTTGGGGGGGAAAGAAAGACCATAGGAAAATTCATTGGTTGTCTTGGGAAAGGGTGTGTAGAAGTAAGGAGGAAGGGGGTCTTGGTCTGTGTGATTTACGTAAATTTAATTTGGCCTTGCTAGGCAAGTGGAAATGGAGGATGCTAACGGAACCTAATAGTCAATGGGTGAGAGTGCTCAATTCAAAATATGCAAAGGAAGACGGTTCATGGGTAGTGGAAGGTCGGACTTGCTCTAAATGGTGGGTGGATATGCAGTCAGTTGTGGATGCGGTTCACGGATGCTCTGGATGGTGGAACCAACATGTACGCCATGTACTGGGAAACGGTAAGCAGACTCGCTTTTGGCATGACAGGTGGATCGGTGAAACTCGTTTTTGGGATGAGTTTAGTCGCCTTTATGAAATCTCGTTAAACAAAAATGACTCGGTAGAAGGAATGTATGAGGGTGGTTCAAAGTGGCGGTGGAGTTGGAGGCGCCCACTTTTTGCATGGGAAGAGGAAAAGTTGGTTGAGTTGGCTAATAGGTTGGCCTCGGTAGTTTTGACAGAGGCTCACCCAGATGAATGGCGTTGGTTAGCCGAAAGGTCAGGGAAATATTCGGTGGCATCTGCTTATAAGATTTTAGCAAAGTCAAACCATGTTCAAGTGGACACTTTTTATGATACGATATGGGCCAAAGGTATCCCTCCTAAGGTTCAAGTTTTAGTGTGGCAGTTGGAAGCGGACAGGTTACCTACCCGGGATAACCTCCTTTTGAGAGGGGTTAATCTAGAAGGACAAAATGGTTGTGTTTTTTGCGAAGAAGGCTCGGAGTCCAGCAAGCATTTGTTCCTCTTGTGCCCAAAGGCTTATGCTGTTTGGGTCAGATTATACGCTTGGTGGGGAGTGTCAGGGGTGCTTATCAACGAACTTAGGAGTTTTTGTCATCAATATATGGGATTGGTGAGTGGCAGTAAGGGTATTAAGCGAGTTTGGTCCTTTGTTTGGTTTGCAGGTATATGGCAGTTATGGAAGGCTCGAAATGAGAACATTTTCAAAGACAAACTCTTTAAGGTGGAAGAGATCGTGTTCATGGCACAGTTGAGATCGTGGGAATGGTGTACGGCTGCTAGAATGGTGTCTTCTTCTTTTCCAGAATGGTTGATGAACCCATTGTCCTGTGCAAGTGTCCCTTAAATTTGTTTTTTCTTATTTTTAGGTCATCTTGTTTTTAATTATGACTTGCACTTCTTGTGCACAATTTTCTTGGAATTAATAAATTCTTGGCTTATCAAAAAAAAAAACAA